GCAAAGTTTTAATGACAAAAAGACTTTCAAACAGTCCTCATCTCTGCCAAACAGCAGCGTTGACAGCACACCTGCTAAAAGCAGCTCCAGTTGTGCAGCATGAGAGAGATCGAAAATGACGGAGACGTGCAAAGTAAAAGTGCAAAAGATCAATGTCTATTTCGTGCATAAACTACAACAGGTAAAGCTGTCAGCTGTGTGGACATTAACAATATCGTTAACAATTCTCATTTAGAATGGATACTAATATGGCTCCTTGCTATCAAGATCTTTAGTCTATATGCTGTTCTCACATAATGCATTAACTTAATATTATTTGTAGCACACTTGCCGTTTAATAAATCGCAATAAGCTTTGTGCTTCGTTACCTCTTAATAAAGTATCAGCTTTAAAATTCTGCCAAATTCATAACGAAATTCAAACAATAAATACCATTTTGGCACTCTTTAATGCGACACGAGCGATCGTTTTAGCTCCTCAGTTCAAGCCACACGTGAACCCATCATGTCTTTCTCTTTAGTACTATAGTACGAAACAAACATGAATGGACATCAAAAGGTAGGCTATTTTATAAGATAGCCTACTGAAATGTCTCACGTAATCACTCATTTAGTGTTTCAAACTACGGAAAAGACAAGAAAAGATGAGACAAACACATGACAGTATGACTGAAATGTTAAAGTGTTTATTCTGTGGCACCCAAAAATAATTTGGCACCTAATTTTGTTTCTTATAGGAGCCAATGGCTCCTTAATGGATTTTTTTGTCTCAAGCCCTGCTTTGAGCAAGCATTTATTAGTAAAGGCATAAAAGCTCATTCACTTCAAGGACAATAACTATAAAGATTAACTATAAAGTTTTAATAATCATTCTAAATATATTACAATATTCACTGACTTTAAAAAGCTTGAGCATTTAAAGCATCACATGACAAAACTGCAGAGCATGGTTATAATAAACAGAACCTTATTGTCTGCTGGTGTGGATGCTATTGCTAATATAAGTTATCAATCTTGATGTGATCGGGTCTTAATTTGTGCAGAAATTCAGATAAAAATGGTATTAAATAATAATGTGATAATGTTTGAATTCAATGCAAACTAATTTTTGAATGCAGTACAGAACAGTTAAAGTTTGAAATGCTAGTATACTACATGCTATTTGTGTTCTCACTACATTTGTCGTAAGACCTCACTATACAGGAAAAAGTGCAAAAACAGTGTGACTACTGTGGTGGTCTGCAGCTCTGAACACAGCCACAGCCGCATGCGTGTGTGTGTACCTGTGTGCGTACCTGTGTGCAGCCGCTGCCTCAGGCCGAGCAGCTCAAGCGTTAATAATACATGTGTCTGGGTTAAAGTTGCATGGGACACATGGTCTTGTGCATTCACACACAGATGAGGCATCTCGCTGCTCGCATGTAACACAACGCTTAGACATCAGATACACCTCTGCTGAGCTCGTACAGCGGGAGTCAGGCCGTCAGTGCAGGAAATGATGTCAAATCATGTCGCTCACAATGCTGACCACAAACGCTTACAACCTGCTGTGTGTGTCAGTGCACAACACTGGACAAAACACACACCTTCACAACAACAAATGTTAATGCTAACTATAATGATAACTGCAATGTTAATGATAACAACAACTATAACAACTACTATAAAATTTATGACACTGATAACTACAACCATAACCTAAATAATAAAGATTCTGAAAACTGTAATGACTAAAACATTAACAATAACTGCATGTAACTACAACTACATGTACAATACAATAACTACATGTACTATAAGTGTTACGATAACCAAGTATAGCGATAACGTTAACAATAACTGTAACTATAACTATAACAACTAATGATAACAGTAATGATACTGATATTTAAAGCGATAACTAAAACAATGATGCCTGTGATGATATTATTATAGTGATGTTATTGTTAATGTTAACAACTACAACTGTAATAACTATAATAAAATTATAAAAATTACAATAAAACTATAATAATAACTTAATACTGACAACTATAGCGATACAATGCCAACTAAGTTTACTATAACCAATAACCATAACAACAACTACAATAACATCAACAATACTGACATTTATAAGTAAAATGTTAACGATACCTTTGAAACTGTAACTATAACAACTAATGATAACAGTAATGATACTGATATTTAAAGCGATAACTAAAACAATGATGCCTCTGATGATATTATTATAGTGATGTTATTGTTAATGTTAACAACTACAACTGTAATAACTATAATAAAATTATAAAAATTACAATAAAACTATAATAATAACTTAATACTGACAACTATAGCGATACAATGCCAACTAAGTTTACTATAACCAATAACCATAACAACAACTACAATAACATCAACAATACTGACATTTATAAGTAAAATGTTAACGATACCTTTGATAACTTATCATTTACATTACGGTTATTGTTACAACTATAACTAATGACAACTATATTAACAATCAGTGACTATATTGACGTTTATATACTGACATTTGTAGTGAACACTAAAACATTAATGACTGTAATAACTATAACAACTAAAATGTAAATAGTAATGTTAATGACAACTATAATCATAACTATAATTATTGTTATTGTCAATAATGATAACTATAACACTGACAACAAGTTCCACTTCATTTTAAGGCGTCCTTGTTACAGTGTAATAACACAAATAAACACGAAGTAATAGTTATTAACAACATATACATACTATAGGGTTAGGGTTTGGTTAAAGGTTATTTTCTTGCATTTATGCATAAATAACTGTTATTACTAAGTACATGTATTATTAAGTACATGCAACAATGATCCCGTAAATCCACATAATAAACACACTAGCAGGCAGCAAATGATTCATATCCATATTCAACCGACTGCAAGTCAGTCACCTGATAGAAAAACCAAACACTAATGTGCTGTGATGGACAGATGTGTGGTCATGTGACCGTCCAGTCCAGCAAATGTCAAATGCTGGTTTATGAATATTCAAAGCTCTTCAAGCTTTAATCCTTTAACATGCATTTCTACGTTTAACAGAGAGCTGATGCCGGTCTCATAGGTCAGCACACGTGTCACGCGTCCAGCTGCTGTTGTTCATCACGCAGCGCTGCAGATAAGAGGGTCTGAGCGCGCTCACAATGTGGTCTAAACACACCCCTTAGGGCAGATGAGCTCATGTGTAAGGTTAAAACAGGACGCCGTACACACGCAGAGCCCATAATAAACACAGACTCAATCTGACCATGACGACGACCTCATTTTAGATGCACAGAGAGGATTTCACACACACACACACACACGCGCAGCACAGCGAATGAACATCAGATTTGTTCTGAGCACATGCTTCTGTTGTGCATAACGTGTGTGTTATGTGCCGTGAGCGCTCTGTCACAGCAAATGAACTACTGTGGTTAAAAAGACAAAACAACCCAGTCTGAGGAATTCTGCATGCATTTTCAATCTGTACTGAAGAAGAGCAACCAGCAGTGCTGTATTCAGTTTGAAAATATATCATAAAAATGGCCCATAATCCCCCTGCTGTGGTTCTCTCACCTGATGACAGTGGACACAGGTATGGGCGGACCTTCATCCTTCAGTTCCTGTACGTTCACCACCTGAGGAACCGTCTTGAGCGTGGACTCTGTCAGAGACGCTCCTGAAGAAAATGACAGAGACAGACTGTAATAAACACACGGACGAGCATGTATAGCCCACAGCAGCAGAAGTGATATTCTAACATTAAATTAATTTAGTACACATGTCAGATGTCACATTTCGGATCACTGTGACATCTGCACATCCATGTGTTTCACAGCCTTCAATATGAGCACCGGGAAAAGTCAATGATTACTTAATTACACCATTATATAATGCTTTCGGGTGGTTGACAAGTCACACTACAAAGAAGCATTCCCTATTTTCCATTTGAAGTGAAAAATGTTTTAAACACTACACAATGGCACAAAAAAAGGGAAAAATTCTTAAAAATTCTATTCTTATATAACTAATAAATGTGGCTTTTATGAGTTTTCTTAGAGATGTACATGGAATGTAAAAAACCTAAAAACCTTGACCACACTGTCAAATCCCTCAATGAATTCCGCTTGCCGCACACTTGCCTCGCGCTATCATCATTTCATTTTAGGCGGTCGTTAAAAAGAAAAGAAAAGAGTATACACTCACCGTCGGCCAAAGCATAGCTTATTTATTCAAATCAGCTGGGGAAATGCAGAACAATGGAAAATCAATCAATAGCCTGACAGAATTCTTCATCTTAATATAACGTTAGCCAACATATTAAAACAAGTCAAAAACAATAGGAAGGTTTATCAAGAGATCGCATTAAAACGGCTTTTAAAAATGTACTTTGTGTAGGCTATATTGTCTAAAAACAAAATGCAACAATGCCCCAGCGCCGGCGGGTTGTAGTGAATGACGTGATAGACATTTGCTGGCTTTGGCCAGCCTCTAAGGCAGTGGTTCTCAACCTTTTTTTCCACTGGGCCGCACTATGGTACAAGTGCAAGTCTCACGGGCCACAAGCATATCGTTTACATATTACGTCACCAATACAAACCAACCAGAATTATAATAGCCTATTATAGCCTAAATATTATGATATCTAATCGACTACATTCATTGAAATAAATAAATAAATAGCCTAATTATATTCACCATTAATAAAACACCTGATGCTGTCGGGAGCTGACCAATTTTGTGAAATTCGGCTCGAAAGGAGTAACAGCACAATGAAGTTGCAATTGTAAGTTGCAGTCTGTAAGACGCGCCG